AGAAGGTAATTTGGGGTAGGATAAAAGAACATCCCCAAGGAAGCCCAATGTTTGTGGAAGCAGTGGAAGACCCATCCAGGCCAGTGGATTTGAAGATTGGAGGGTCACTTGTGGCAGGTCATCAAGTAGTACCCATAACAGTGGCTAATTTCTCTAAATGTGAGCAGACACTTATGAAAGGGGCATTGTTGGGTGTGTGATAGGAGGTAGAGCCAGTCAATGTTAAGGCAAGAAATACGACCATAATGAAAGGACATCCTCTCCCAGAACATTTAACTAACCTCTATAAGAAGAGCATAGTCCATTTGTCATCATCACAGGCTCTTCAGGTTAGAGAACTCTCGGCGAATTATGCAGAAATCTTTTCAAAAGGAGATCATGACCTTGGCTGCACAGACTTTGTGGAGCACAGAATAAACATAGGCAATTACTGTCCAATAAAGATCCCTATAAGGAGAACAGCTCTGGCATAGCAACAAGAGATGGAGAAAGTCATGGATGGCCTAATTAAAGAAGGGATAGTCGAGAAATCAGATAGTCACTGGTCAGTTCCTGTTGTGTTAGTCCAGAAGAAGGATGGGACCCAATGTTGCTGTGTGGACTTCAGGGCTCTTAAAAGTATAATTGAAAAGGACTCATACCCGCTGCCAAGAATTGATGATACTCTCAATGCCCTAAGTGGAGCCAGGTAGTTTTCAACTCTAGACGGGTTTCCATCAAGTAAAAATGGCTGAAGCAGATAAACCTAAGACTGCATTTAGTTATGGCCAGGGTCTCTGGCAATACTGTGTGATGCCATTCGGGCTTAGCAATGCTCCAGCAACATTTGAGGGGCTGATGGAAAGAGTACTGGAAGGCCTACAATGGAGTATAGCCCTAGTGTACCTGGATGATGTCATTGTGTTTGCAACAACACAGGTACGTCAATTAGTTTATCTAACCTTACAGAAACTCTTTCTTTCAAACACTCCGGTTGGGATGCTCTGTTGCTTATGTTAGGCATAAGTGTAGAGTCATCTGAGGGGTGTGAATTAATTATATTTCTGTTTTAAAGGCTTATTCACTAACTTATTTTGCCTTATCTTACTATCACTCACCTTATCTTTATGACTTCTGCTAGCTTTAGTGTCTTTCTGTGCAGTCCTATTTTTCAGCTTCCTTTTAGAACTTTCTTTAGG